CGACTTAATACTTGGATTGAAAAAAAAACAACACTAAGACAATAGATTGTTTTTAATTTTTATTTAGGTCAGAATATTAAAAAATCTGAAGGAAAAATAATCTTCCTTGATTTTATACGATCAATTATTAAGTATAAAAAAACTACGAGTATTACGTCTTCTTCTAATATCACAGGTTTTTGGTCAGTTGAAGCTCTATTTTTGTCAATTTCACAAAGATTTCAGACTACACCATACAAGAACAGCCGTAATCATAACATTATCAACCCTAACACTCAGCTCGGCTGTGAACCAAATATGGTGAACCATTTGAAGACAGATAATCCGATAAGTCATTATTCAGTGCGCGTGTAGAAAGTTTACATTCCCGAGAGTGCAGTTATAAACTTTATTCCCCCGACATAAGAACCACTCGAAGGGTTTCGTAATCATACAAATAAGTGCAGCATTATGTTAGGTTACTTACATTAATGTGTCCTTATGAGAATGTAATAATTTGTTTGATCTTACGCTCTGTTGTCAAATGGTAATGGCACTTTGAAACGCTTTTATAGCTCGAGGGGACAAGACCATTCTTAAAAGAATGTAGAAAAATATTTCTTATGATACGTAGATGTGATGTTTATAAATACTTAAGTTTACACGAGTCCTTGTGTAGTTCGGTACGTGAAATGTGTTTTGAGAGCACTCGTACCGTCATCTACATATGGTGTCACTGTGTTAAGGCGTGATAGTGTGAGCATCACAACATATACGACTTCATATCATTAAATTAAGTATTGAATTTCATTCAACAAACACTTGTTTGTCGATCTCTCGATGCTCTATTTGAGAAAATTGTGGAAGCATCGCGTTGAAAGTAATATGAAATATTCAAGTTTGCATTCCCCTTGCAATGAACCGTCCTTTACTTGATGTATATATTAATCAATTAATTGTTTATCAATTCTTTAATATTACTATGCTTGTATATTTTTTTCTTTTTCCCTCTTACCAATCTCTTCACATATTGTAATGCATCTTTTCTGAGTCAGTAATTTCTTTACGTATAAAATGTATGAAACAATATAATATGAGGCAATAGTCGTTAAGCTAAATTAACACTTTCAACAATTAATGTAGGTAATACAGCACAGTGAGTGTCGTGTGTTCACAAGTCATTCTTAAAGCCGTAACAATAGACAGTCAGTCAGCCAGCAGTCACATGATTGTGTAAGTCAGTCATTATGTTTTATTAAATTTGTTTTTTAATTACCATTTCATTTTAATACGACTTTGAGAGAGTCTTGTTAATTAACGCGCGTAACTGACATGCATATACGTACCGATTGTCAAATCGATTCTGGCATTCTCCGAAGGACAATAATCTGAAATAAACAAAAAATGCTTAAAAAGAATATCAAAAAGATTTTTTTTTTTATTAAACTTAAATAAAAATATGATCGATTGAACAAAATATTTCGTCATAATTAAATAAAATTTGTGACATGGATGCAAAACCATAAATAATATGTATATTAAATTAACACAAAAATAACGTCATCAACGTCTGAGCTCGTTACATTTCCAAATGTACACAAAGTTTACTTAAAATGTGAATATCTGTCAGTGTCAGGTACAACATCTCTTAGTAAAAGAAAGTCGACTTGTTGGACAATATCTTTATTTAATATTTTATGTATTTAACTTTAAAACATTATTATCGTATTATTTTAAGCTTATTTTTAATAATGAACATTAATTTCTTCAAATCAATATGACCGTGTTAAGAATCATTTGAATGGAGTTAGAATGATGATTTACAGAGTGTAACAATGTATTTCTGACTACAACTATTCTTTTAATAATATTCCCTAAGTGAGCCACTCCCACGGGCTTCAACGATCTCCCGTCAGCTTTCTCCAAACCCATTCCTTATCATCATACCGACGATCAAACCTGATGCATGACCACCACGGGAATTCACTTAATAACAGTTACCTAACATTTAGTGTGTGAAGCGTCTTCTTATATAAATATAAAATTTTTCCTTTCAACCAAGTTTTATCAAGCGTAAAGGCAAAGTCATGAAAGAAACTTTGCTTCTTCGAGCTCCCATTAAAAAATGATAAACTGTAGTCAGCAAAAGAGAAATAGTGAATAGTTCATATAAATAACAAAAGCTTGTGTATTTATTGATTTTATAATATCTCTATATTATAATATTTAAATATCCCTCGTGCTAAAACAATGTCTCGTTTTGAATAATTCATTGTGCCGCTGTCTTTGAAGCCATGGTCCTTTGGGGTATGCATTATGCATATATGGGAAATACTTGGAAATACTTGGGTCGCTCCTAGTATCTACTGTGATTGTATTCTCACTTTCATTAGATGTGGCTTGTGACTCACAGACCGGTAAGAAATTCGTCTCATTTGATGATTTTATGAAATTTTTAACAGAGTAAATACAATGTTTGTCAAGCTTTGATTGAGGATATAGTGTACTCGTATTATCGAGGGACAGACCTAAACCACATACTTTATTTTCTATCTAAAACAATTAGGTACATAATGTTTTAATTATTTAAAATTCATCCAACAAACTCTAAATTTAGTTAACATCATAACATTAAATAGTTATCATTTATATTTTGTAAGAAATAAGAATCAATTAATCAAATGTAAAAATATGTTTTATGAAATAAAAAATAATACATATTTTACACGTTTATATGCGTAGGTATTGTCAAATGCAGCATATTTTTCTACAAAAAGAAAAAACCACGATAACTCATTAAACTAGTAATATAGACATATTAAGTTGAAATGATATGTTATACAATCATCAATCTTTTGATAGCGCTTTATTAATTATAGTTTTTCGATGCTTAATCATCCTTTATCAGGTAAGCCTACTTCAATATCCTCTTATACCAGGCACCATTCACAACATTTCGTTTCGCTTTTAATATATTTTAATGTGCATTACATTACAATTTCAGTTACGTGAAGGTTTTTTCCTCTTAAAAACTAAATAGCCTTAACACACGTAATTAATTATTACGTTGTTTTAAAGTTAATGAATGTTAATGCAGACCGTCATTGGCCAACTCTTACGAATACTCCAGAGTGCTGTTCAGTGAGTGCTCTTACTACTCTTAATGCATACACGACTTAAAAAGATTTTAATACTCTGATAAATTCTATAAAAGAAAATGTTGCTTACGAACTAATTACAAAATATATCAAGAAAAAAGTATTAAAAAAAAACAACAAAAATATAAATAAAAAATTGGTTTATATAAATTCCGTCTTTAAACTTATACTTGGTGAGTAAAAATGTTCTATTATATTCAAACATATTGACGTGATTAAATATAATCCTTGGATTTCAGGGAAAAAAATATTTTATTGAATATTATGTTTAATTGAAATACGACTTTAAGTTAACTTACTTTAAGTTCGACTATCAATTGTGCATTTTTTTTGTAAATAAATTTCTCTCGCGCGTCTTCTTCTATTTACTATAAATTTTATTTACCAATTAAATTGTCTCGATCCAATGACTGTAATAAAAGCCAACGAATTTTTAAATCTCATCCCAAACAGATTTCATGCTTTCCGATCATCTTGAAATGCGACTCTCAATTGAATAGTTTCACTTTTTGAAAACATAATAATAATAATTCAAATCGAAATACTAAGTCGAGATATTCTTGAATTGTATAAAGAGATTGGATCAATACAAAACTCTGTACGTAGACGGATACTTGACGAAAACTATCTGGATACTATCCACATATATAGATCGCTGGTAAGTATACTGCTATTCCTGTTAATAAAAAATCTATGAGATCATCAGACCGACCAACCCTATCCATTTTTTCTTATAACTGTATCCACAATACACTTGTAGCGTACCTATTTACTTATTTATTTATTTAAATTATTTAATTTATACATTTATTTATTTATTTATTCATTTATTAAATTATTTATTAAATTATTTATTTCTTTACATGCCAAAAAAAATATATATGTATAACAAACACACTGCCGGCCCGTCTACTCATTTTTATACGTAGCTACGATTGCAACCGCTCGGTTTGACCGCTGACCGGCCAGAGGTCAGAGCGGCCCGGCCGGCCGGCATACGTGACTAGATCGCGGACTAGTAAACAATTATCACCGACCACACCTTCTGTTCACTATATGTTTATACTACATATATTATAAAGTGTAAGTTGTGCTTATAAAAATTAAATAAAAGTACTTGTTCACTATAACTGGTGACCCCGCGGTTGGACATAAAAAGTATAAAAAGTGTAAAGATGAGTGATAGTAGTGACTCGGCGAAAACCGTGAGTTCTCAACCGGATGCCAAAATCACCACGCGGCATGCGCGAAAAATGCGCGTTTCCACGGACCGTCAAGACATTACTGGGCGGAAAATAAAAATTAAGGTTCCCCCGTTTTCACCCGAGGATCCGGAATTATGGTTCGCCCTTTTAGAAGGTCAGTTCGAAAGTGAAAATATTACCGATGACCACATTAAATTCACTAACGTCACGAACAACCTGGACATACAGTACGCAAAGTCGATAAAGGACATTATAATAAATCCCCCGGTGAAAAACAAATACGATAAAATTAAGACCGAGCTAATCAAGCGACTTTCGGCATCACACGAGAAAAAGGTGAAACAACTACTCACGCATGAAGAGCTCGGCGATAGAAAGCCATCACAGTTTCTTCGCCACCTCCAAGACCTGGCTGGACCTTCTGTACCCGACGATTTCCTAAAATCTATATGGAGCAACCGCCTACCCCATAACATCCAGACGGTGCTAGCTTCGCAGCCCACGCATTCTTTGGATCAGCTTGCGGACCTAGCAGACCGAATACAGGAACTGACGTCACCGTGCACTGTCGCCGTTGCATCCAGCAGTGGACTTGGGGCGCAACAAGTTAACGAGATCGCTGAGCTGAAAAGGATGGTGCAGCAGCTCACCCTGAAACTTGAAGAGCATACCCGAGGGTCCTGCTGCTCCACTCAACGTTCAAGACCGCGTGAACGCCACCGTCGGTCTTCTTCTCAGCAACGAAGCCGTTCCAGTTCTAGTTACCGGAAATATCCAGTTTGTTGGTACCACGCCAAGTTCGGACCACAGGCTCGCAGGTGCATTAAGCCCTGCGATTACACCACATCTCGGGCGGAAAACACCACGGGCAGTCGCTAATGGCGACTGACGGCTGTCCTCCTTCATCTGGTCGCCTCTTCGTCACCGACCGCAGCACCAACACACAATTCCTGGTCGACACCGGTAGCGATTTGTGCGTCTACCCTCGTGCTGCACTGCGGGAGCGCCGTTCCAAGACCAACTTCGAGTTGAGTGCTGCCAACGGATCGACAATAGAAACATACGGTTTTATCGAGCTTAACTTAAACTTAGGATTAAGACGAAATTTTGTTTGGCGATTTACTGTAGCAAATGTAACTAAACCAATAATCGGCGTCGATTTCCTATGTCATTATAATTTAATAGTAGATTGCCGTAATCAGCTGTTAATTGACAACACAACTAGTTTAACTGCATGTGCTTCCCTTGATAAATCTAATATTTCTTCTATAAAAATTTCAACAGGCCAATCCCGATTTCACAACATCCTGAGCGAGTTCCCGGAGATAACGCGGCCGGCAGGCACACATGTGTTTCCAAAACATAACACCGTACACTATATCAGAACTACACCCGGCCCACCTATATCTTGTACTCCCCGTAGACTGGCACCTGATAAATTAAAAATCGCCAAACGGGAATTTGAGCTCATGCTCAATAATGGCACGGCGCGGCCCTCTGACAGCCCCTGGGCTTCTCCCCTACACCTAGCCCCTAAGAAGGATAACAGCTGGAGACCTTGTGGAGATTACCGGATGCTTAATGCACGGACTATACCAGACCGATATCCTCTGAGACACATCCACGACTTTGCCCACAATATAACTGGTTGTCAGATCTTCAGCACCATAGACCTCGTCAAGGCCTATAACCAGATTAGGGTCTTTGAGGAGGACATTCAGAAGACTGCTATCACCACCCCGTTTGGTTTGTTCGAATTCCCCTGCATGACCTTTGGTCTGAGGAATGCAGGCCAAACGTTTCAAAGGTTTGTTGACGAGATGACACGGGGGCTTGACTTTGTTTATCCTTATTGCGACGATTTTTTGGTATTCTCAAAGGACCAGACTCTTCACGAAGCCCACCTTCGCCAACTCTTCTCACGCATGAAGGAATATGGCGTACTTATAAATAGCTCTAAATGTGTCTTTGGGGCATCCGAAGTATCATTTTTAGGTTACCACATTTCTGCAGCTGGCACAAAGCCGCTGGAATCCAAAGTCCAAGCCATAAACGAGTTCCCAGTTCCCAAGACAGTGAGAGAACTCAGACGATTTTTGGGAATGCTCAACTTTTACAGGCGATTTTTACCTAACTCAGCTGAAACGCAAGCACCTTTAAATGCTCTTCTTTCTGGCTGTGTTAAGCCATCTCAACCAGTCGACATATCTGGAGAGGCCCTTCTTGTCTTTAACAGATGCAAAGAGAGCCTCGCTAATGCCGCTCTACTAGCACACCCTGATTGTCAGGCTAAACTCGCTCTGGTAACAGACGCGTCCGACACGGCAATGGGTGCAGTTTTGCAACAACTTAAAGACTGCGCGTGGCAACCTCTTGCATTCTTTTCAAGAAAATTGAGTCCTTCCCAACAAAAGTATTCGCCTTATGACCGCGAACTTCTAGCCATTTATGAAAGCATCAAATACTTTCGGCACATGTTAGAGGCAAGGCATTTCGTGGTTTATACCGACCACAAACCCCTCAGTTACGCTTTCAACGAAAGGAAAGCCAACTGCTCACCTCGACAGTTTCGCCACCTTGACTTCATCTCACAGTTCACGACCGATATTAGACACATTAAAGGCAAGGACAATGTCGTCGCGGACCCACTGTCACGTGTCGATGAGTTACAGATGCCAGTTGATTTGGACATCCTAGCTTCATCCCAAGCTTCTGATGAGGAGTTAGTTCGTCTTTTGGGAGAAGACTCTTCACTTCGCCTAAAGAAGTTAACACTACCAAACTCCCGAACAGAACTTTATTGTGACGTCAGCACTCCCTCGCCCAGGCCTTTTGTCACCAAACCACTAAGGAGACAACTCTTTAACAGTCTTCATAGCCTCAGCCATCCAGGCGCCAACGCGTCGGCTAAATTGGTTGCTGAGCGATTTGTTTGGCCTGGAATACGGAAAGATTGCCGGGAGTGGGCTCGTCAGTGCTTAGCGTGCCAACGCGCCAAAGTTCATCGTCACGTGTCTTCTCCATTGGGCACGTTCGATCTGCCTCGCGCCCGTTTCTCGTTTGTTCACGTGGACATTATTGGTCCGCTACCTATTTCACAGGGCTATCGCTACTGCTTCACAGCGGTGGATCGTTTCACACGCTGGCCTGAAGTTACACCTATGGCTGATATTACAGCCGAAACGGTTGGGAAGGCACTAATATCGTGGATATCCAGATTTGGATGTCCAGCGGATATTGTCACCGATCGCGGAAGACAGTTTGAATCGTCGCTTTTCCAATATCTTGGAAAAATGATCGGATTCAAACATCGCAGAACAACCGCATATCACCCAGCCTGTAACGGGCTAGTGGAGCGATTCCACCGTCAGTTGAAGGCAGCCATAATGTGCCACGCCGACAGCAACTGGGTGGACTCATTGCCCCTGGTACTGTTGGGCATTCGAAGCGCAGTTAAGGACGACCTGAAATCCTCACCAGCCGAACTGGTTTATGGGGAGCCGTTGCGTTTACCTGGTGAATTTTTCCAGACAACGGCTGCCCCAAACACCGACATATCGGATTTCACCACCCGTTTGTGGCATTTAACGTCCAAGATCCAACCAGCCCCAGCCTCTCGTCACGGAAAGAAAAAATATTTTATATTTAAAGACTTAAGGACGTCTTCACACGTGTTCTTGAGGGACGATGCAATTCGTGGCGCTTTGCAGCCACCCTACTCCGGCCCCTATAAAGTCCTTGAGCGAGGAGACAAAACCTGCAAAATTCTTGTTAAAGGAAAAACTGTCACAGTGTCTATAGACCGTCTTAAACCAGCCTTCACGCTGATTGACACATCTCCCGATCCCATTCCCATTCCCGATCCCAATTTGCAGCAACGGTCCAACTCCATCCCTGAAAACCTCCCGCCAGTGCAGGATTCCCAGGCTCAGGAGGACGTCAGACGAACGCGTTCAGGCCGTAAAGTACACTTTCCTGATTTTTATCGCCCGTCGTGACGGTCTCGGGGGGGAGTGATGTAGCGTACCTATTTACTTATTTATTTATTTAAATTATTTAATTTATACATTTATTTATTTATTTATTCATTTATTAAATTATTTATTAAATTATTTATTTCTTTACATGCCAAAAAAAATATATATGTATAACAAACACACTGCCGGCCCGTCTACTCATTTTTATACGTAGCTACGATTGCAACCGCTCGGTTTGACCGCTGACCGGCCAGAGGTCAGAGCGGCCCGGCCGGCCGGCATACGTGACTAGATCGCGGACTAGTAAACAATTATCACCGACCACACCTTCTGTTCACTATATGTTTATACTACATATATTATAAAGTGTAAGTTGTGCTTATAAAAATTAAATAAAAGTACTTGTTCACTATACACTCATCACTATATGATCAAGGTACAGACAGTAATAAATTTCGAAACTAATCTGCGACCTAAGATTTTCGCGAGTATTATTATCCCTACTGATATTATAAATGCGAAAGTAACTCTGTCTGTCTGTCTGTTACGCTTTCACGCCTATACCACTAAACTGATTTTAATGAAATTTGGTACAGAGATAAGTTGACCTTCAGAAAGAACATAGAATAGTTTTTATCCCAGACTTTGAAAGGTTCTCTTGGAAACGCGATATAACCGAACTCCACGTGAGCGAAGCTGCGGGCGGAAAGCTAGTTTTAAATGAAACGAATATTTTTCGGATTATCCTACAAGATGTGAATGACATCTCGACTGCCCGTGATCACGGTTGCTGAAAAGTAACCGAAACGTCGGGAGTATGTAGTTTATAGTCAAAAATAAAGTCGCGTAGTATAATCCGACTTAAGATTTATAAGTCATAGTACCTACGTTACGAATATTTTGTATAATTAAATCAATGAATAGAAAATATCAAATCGTTTTAATTCTTGAGTTTCTATATCAGTGTAATGATACAATAATGTTGTAAAGAATGTAACATCGCTCAGTCGTCTTCAATTATGACAACATTGTCAAGTTTACGAAGCGACGTTTATATTACCGCTGTAACTAGTAACTCAGTTCGCTCCACTTGTTAATGTTTCGATAGTATTCAACAACATTATGGAATAACTCGATACGCTTTTTGATTTTAATGACTTTATCGATAACCTAATCTCGTTATCGCTTCGTCTTTGACGTCCAAGTTTATTTCCCTCTTTAAATATATCGAGTTTTTGTAAAAACTGAGCCTTAACTTGGAGTTGAAACCCAACTTTCAAACGTCCAGAACTACAGTCATGTTTATTATGACATATTATTATACCCATAAAGTATTTGAGAGGCGAGGTCGATCACTTTCTACACAATGGTCGTGACTAGAACACAATAAGTCGACACGCGGTTAACGCGTTAACTGTTAATTACTATTAACCATTTGCATATTTATCTCTTGTTACAAAACACACGGTGAGTTTAATAATCAATTTACTTCATAACACATTAATCGTTATTATCCATTCGGACTGAAACTGAAAGCGTGTCCGACAGTTATAGAATTGTTCTGAGCACACACCTACAGAGTTCCTTATGAGTTAAAGCTAAAATATTGTCTCTCAAACAGGACATTGGCGGGGACGAAGAAAAGTAGGAAATTTAATGATTGTTACTTGTTATTGATTAAACTATATTAATATATGACATACGACATTGACTAAACAAATATTGTGACAGATTATTTTAGTAAAAATAAAGAACTTAATAGCAAAGGTCTACTACAAGAGCCTAAGTTGGTAATTTGTCAGAAAATCGATTAACTAAATCAGTTGATACAAGTGAAATGAATCAATAATGATATATTATTAATTAATGAACGCCAATTGTATTAAGGTCTGCTTCTATTATTCAATACATATAATATCTGTATGAATTTTACAATAATCGTGTAACGTAATGTATGTTTGTCTTACTGTTTCTTTGTCTATGTGTGTGTGTGTGTGTGTGTGTGTGTGTGTGTGGTCGTTGTTTCAGTGTTATAGGTCTGGTTTCAGTGGTTCGTGATCCTTTCGTCAACATTCAGTGACCATGAATGTATTCAGTCTCATGTGATTTAAATGTGTGTGTGACCACTGTTATATATGTGTGTGTGTGTGCGTGCGAATGTATTTCAAAAAATATTAGTATTGTGCAAGCATTACAGTTGTATGAACAATGAACGTAGTTTGAATAACCTTCAGAGGACTATCAGCTGAACTAATAATTAATAAAATAATATAATACATGATAAATTATCTTATTAATATTTACCTGTAATATTGTGTCATAACCTTTATTTTGCTACAAACAGAACTCATATAACTTGATACAAATAATGTATATCTTGGAAATTGTAACTAATTTAAAATTTAACTATAATTTCAGTACTATACAAATAGCTGCTTAATATATGCATAATAAATAATAACAACATTTTCATCTCACCTCATTTCTTTCATCTCTCATAATTACACTTTTCGACTCACTGATACAACACACTTTTAATATTTTAACACATTCTGTATCTAGACTCAAAATTAAACAAAAACATCAAATATAACTATCCTTTGGACAATACTTAACAAACTATTGACGTTAAACATTGTCATAAGAAGTTACACTTGCAATATTCACTAATAGATCTTATTAAAGCCTATCAGTCATCAGGTAGTAAGTATCGTGTCGTAGTCGTGTCGTGAGTCGTTCCGTGTTGTCCCCGCGTCGTGGTCGGCGCACGATCCGTGACTGGTCTCCCGTCTCTCCCTACACGTTCCCGAGAAAGTGAACGGGTTCTTGCAGGAGAGAACACACAAGGTCAAGTTCAATTGGAAATTGGATGTTTAAACTTTTACTTGTATTCCGTTCTCCATGAAATCGCTATAAAAAAAACCAACGTCGGCTGTTCACTTTTAGTGTATTAAATTACAGTAATATTTCAAAATATCTATATATCCACGTTTGTCAATATTTGTAGTCCGAATATTTGAATGTCAATCGTCTGTTGGGAGACTTTATCTCATTTTCTTTTCTGAATAGTTCTTTTTTTATCAAAATAACGACAAAACTAAACTCTCAAGTATTTCTCTTAACGCATAAAACAGTCCCAGCATCCTCGCTTCATGAATCAATCTGTCTCCCCATCCCTGTCACCCTTGTATGATCCACCCCTGGTGTGAAGGTGACAGCTGCTCCTCGGTCTCCCTCAAAGCTCGTGCTCCTACCGGCAGACGCACTCCGACCTCGCAATCGATAACTCGGAGCTTACAATATATATTACTGTTCATAAAAATATTATCAATATTAGAGATTATTAATATTAAGTTCAAAGGACAAGGGTCATTAACAATACACAACACTCGACTTGTTCTGCTAACGAAATTATAGGCTTATAAATTGTCCTTTAACACATTAGTACCATATTTATACAAAATAACTCACTAGCTAAGTTTAAAGTTATCATATTATGGATAAATTACTTAAATTGAGCAACATGACGGAAACAACACTACATTTTGAACTTTTCTTTTTATAAACCTGTTTATACATCGTCACTTCTTACTTGTACATTACACTGTGTCACTCTAAGAACAATACAAATCTAAAATGCGTGCTCAACATTCACACAGACACATTAAAATATAACGTTTATTCTGACATAAAATTACATAATAAATTATAATATTAAAAACACTTTGCTCCCTTTATAACACAACAACCCTATTTTTATTTTATTAAGGATGCAATTGCTGTAGGAAATAAAAATTAATAGCAACTGAGATTCTATTTTTAGCTTACATTTAACCTGGAAAAGTTATCTATACAGCAAATTATAAATAAATTAGAAGAGATTTATTACATTATATATGTTACATTAATGATAAGAATAACAATGAAAAAGATCTGTTTCTTTTAATACATGTCAATCCTCGGGCAGGTTCATCGCACAATGAAATGTTTATTTAAGAATCTCTCATAGATGTCATGTTCCTCTATATTCCCACGCTCCTCTCGATATATTAATTTAAACACTTCTACTTAGTGTTGAACCTAAATATCTGCTTAATCTAATATACATATTAAATACTAGAAGACCTGGCGAACTTCGTATCGCCCTATAATCAAGAAATATCTATTACGTTTTTTTATTTATATTTTTGAAGTAAGCCATAAATCTCCGTGTTTTGAAGTGCGACAGAATGATTGACATATTAGTTAGTAGTCAAATCTAATGTCAAAAAAAAACGTTTGTATGGGAAATAGAAAAGGGCTGTTTTTATGGTTTTCCCAGAAATGAATCAATTTTTTTCAGCTTTTATACCTTCCCTGAACCTCCACGAACATTTCAACACTAAGATAAGATAAATCCGTTCAGCTGTTCTCGAGTTTTAGCGAGACTAAGGAACAGCAATCCATTTTTATATATAGAAGATATGTTAATAAAAAAACTTACTGTTCAATACAAATATATGTACATATATGTATATCTGTTAATGGGAGCACAGTACTACTGCTAAATATTAAGTCATTCTCTCAAATTAGAAGCAATAATTTACAATAACTACATCTGTCACGAACAATTCAGTTCACAAACTGGTCAAATTATGAGGATAGAATGACTACTTTAACAATTGTAATTGTAGGACTATGACGTCACAACTATAGTAGTGTGACGCGGCTCTGTCTGTGTTAGAAGTGAGATCAGATTACATCTAAAATAATGCTTAAAGTAATAAGCGTTATAAGAAGAGAATTCTTGTAATACATACATACATATATTATATAATCATTATAGTTAAATATAATTATTACGAGTTTAATCTCTCTTTTGTCAAATTTAATACCTGGTTTATGAAACTAGTTATTTGAAAATATATTATTGTGACGCCTGAACTATGAAAGCGAACTGCCTGAAGTTATATTAAACTTTAAAATTTAATTTCAAATAAAATGATAAACATTCTGCATCTCGTATAACTGCAATGCGTCAAACAACTCTGTTATACTAACACCGAGGATACACTCGACTGTTCTTTAAACTAATTGCCTACGAAACATTCAGAACATATATATTAAATACAGCGATGAAAATTATTTAAACAGGTGAAAAGTCTCTGAAAACACCTAGTGGTTTATAGACAGAATGCCGGCCGGTTTTAGACGATTCTTAAATATCATCTTCGTTTCGTGGAAATTCATTTCCTAATGATGTTATAATGAGACAAAAAGACGGCTGAAAATTAGTCTATATACATATAAAGCACGTGGATGATGAGAGCATACACACGTTGATATTATTTAATGTTTTATATTTCTCATAATAAGGCAATCCGTTTACTTGAATTTCTGTCTCGGAACATTGATTTTTGTTATTCTTCGTTATGCACAATTAGTCAAAAGCGGGGAACTATCACAGGCGGGCTCGGTTCAGGGATCGAAAGTGGTATTGTACGTGTCTAGACACGCGTGACTCCAGCCACTGGCTCGGTTCCTACTGAATACTGATATATTGCCTCCTCGAGCTCTCTCATCTCCTGGTACTGCGACTGCAATACGCGTCGGGAAATATTACTCTTTGTTACAAATGTTTTTCTCTCCGGCTTTTTTTTCATTTGAAAGAAGCATAAAACATACAACCATGTTGTCCTATAGCTATGATTTATGTAAACTGACAGATTAACATTTTAATAATAATTATTGTTTACAGAAACATCTAAACGTCCTTATTTAATGAATATTTATATATTGCAAATTATTTTAACACTTATCTTAACCGTTATGTAATATTATAACAACTAATAAAGTTATTAATACCGCGGACTCGACTCTCATTCATCATCCACGCGGGACCTCCCTCGTAGTGCGTATAGCGTCATACCCCGGTTCTGTCCGCGGCGGTGGGCGCGTTCTTTACGATGTCTAGTCTCTAATTCGTTAAAGAGCTTCATTCCACCGACATCTTTGATCCGCGGCCGACATCCGACTGTTGATTGATATCCCCGCGGTCGGCATCAACAGTTTCAGAGCGCCGTCTACTTCCCGTTTATAAATACACGTACATCAAAAAAACCACTTCCATTTAACCACAAAAGGATGTTCGTGTCTAGTGTATTTGGATCGTAAAGCTTTTGGTTATAGCGCCATATTTTTGACAGTCTAGTCGCCTATCGACCGCACGGCGCCGGCTCACAATTTGTTAAACCGATAACATAACTTAATAACATTATTAAACCAGTTTCCTAATCAACAACACGCGCACCTTATCGCGCCGTCAGCCTCGAGGCAGTCATTTTTCGGCGCCCGCGAATCAAATTTCATTACTCTGTGTATGTTTGTTGTCTTCAGCTTAAAGTTACAGTTCTGAGGTTTCAACTGTTGACACCGAACTGTAACACATCGTGATAACGACTGTACGCCTCACGACTGTCTGATACCATCACGGTCAAAAAGCAACAACATTCATTTCACTTTCAAAACTGTCTTAAATTTCTATTATGAATATTACATGAAATTTTATTATTATGATTGAGAGAAGACGATAAAATTATCGTCTATAGTCAATGTACAGTTCAAACATGACACAAACAAATGATTTTTCCTTTGCATAAAAGAAATTAAATGATAAAATGTTAACAATAGTTTAACATGCCACTGAAGTATTATAATATACTTAATGAGAGAGAGATAACCGGGTATCTGTACTAGTATATTTTAATACCAATCCTACCTACCTTAGTGTTCCTATTATCCCGCGAATACTAACATTTGTTAATAACCAACAACTTAAAACATCGCTTAACAAAAGTCGAACTGCACTTTGAACCATTACAAAGCATTTGTTTTATATCCTCACATTAATAGATATGACCTTAATGACTTCCGACACTACTAGATTGTAATCTGTACGAAGTTTGAATTGTAAAAATAATATCTTAATAGTTAACTTCATCTTTATTTTGTGAGCGAAGAATTGGTCTAGACGTATCGTCTGTAAGATATACGAGGGGTGGGCGGTGGAGGCCCTGGCTCATTAATCAGATTCACTCCGACATCGTAAACCTTCAACAGGAAACAAAGATGACTGCTATAAAATATGTGAAGCATATCTAGTGTGAGGGTGGTCCGCGGAATCTTACATAAGACTACATATATTATTGATATATTGTTTAAATTAGTCAGCAAAATTCATCAAAATGTTTGCTGAACAATAAACACTACGAAGATTACGATGAAAGTAAACAGAACTGGTTAGTATAGATTCTTATCTCAAGAACAATTTACATATGATATAAAGTTAGTCCCTTTCGGCTTTCTTTTATTTTCAGTAGTTATCACGACCAAAGACGTCATATATGAGACTATGTAAGCAAATGAAGCGACTGCATCAATGAGACACGTATGGGGTACCTATATATATGTACATCAAGTTAGTGTGTGTTTTAATTGTCAAAGAGCGTCACCAGGATGCGGGCCCTTCACACCCTCGATGCTTCCACACAGTCGTATCTGAAGGGCCGCAGCGCCTCGTCTCATACAAAGCGTGCATTGTACAACTTCATAAGTGTAATTAAAGAAACGTGCCTAATAGGTAAAAATCGATGCGCTAATTGAACTAATTCGACCCCTTTACCCATTTCCCTTTTAGCACATAAACGAGTAGAGTAACAATTCATTACTTGTGTTCGAATGTTATAATGATTTAACAGTTCATTTACTATGTAGAGTTAAAATTATTGATGCAGGCGTTGACATCTATAATGTAGAGTCCCGGTAGAGTTACACTTAAAAATGTAACATCCTTAAAGAACTTTATTTCCGTCACGGGACACTCCTCGCACGCGCCGTTGACTCTACACTTCCCTCACTACTGTATAAAGGGAAGTCAGGGGAATATAAACATACAGACGTACATGTAACATACACCACCCACCTCAACATCATACTTAGAAACTTAATAATAATATCATCAGTGTGTTATTGTAACAAAGAATGAACAGAACGAAGTAGAAGTAACAAACCGTTCCTAAAAATAGTTCCAATGATTTTAAGGGCTTTCAAATAAAATATAATCTATATATATAAAAATGAATTGCTGTTCATTAGTCTCGCTAAAACTCGAGAACGGCTGAACGGATTTATCTTATCTTAGTCTTGAAATGTTCGTGGAGGTTCTGGGAAAGTTTAAAAGCTGAAAAAAATGATTCATTTCCGGGAAAACCCTAAAAACAGTCCTTTTCTATTTACCATACAAACGTTTTTTTGACATTTGATTTGACAACTAACTAATATGTCAATCATTCTGTTCGATTGAAACAGGAAAAATTTAATAAATTCGAAACAGAGTTCGCCCGGTCAGCTATACATATGTATATTACTAATGAAGAAATTAACCCGGACGAAGTCGCGGGCAAATCTAGTCTCATATATATTGTTTGATTGAACCCTAACATATATAACGAGCAATGATTATATACCATATTATAAAAGATATCTTTCTATGGTCGGTGTGAGTGGTACTATCATAAACAAGACAGTGTCATCACTCATACATCGGACGTCATTTCAGAGTACAGTTTTACATTTACAAGGAATGCCATTATATATATTTTATGACATTTTAATACAAAGTTGTTCTTGTAATATTATACTTGAAAAATCATTTTTATTACAGTCTTGCTCTTCGGGAGACTAGAAGTTGTGTGAGCTTCTATGTTTATTTTCGCGACGTACATGTTGGAAGGACAATTACACACAATGTGATCAGATTCTACAGAAACTGTATACACTTGACATGTACCTGACATGAGACAGAACAGGGTGAGAGAGTGAGGACCTAGCATAAACAGTCACGGTAACTATAAATATAACATAATCATTATTATATTACTAGCTCTCCGCCCGCGTGGAGATCGGTTATACCGCGTTTCCAAGAGAACCTTTCAAAAGTCTGGGATAAAAACTATCCTTTGTTCTTTCTCAAGGACAACTCTATATTACCTAGTACCAAATTTCATTAGAATCAGTTCAGTGGTTTAGGCGTGAAAGCGTAACAGACAGACAGACAGAGTTTTTCGCATTATATAGTACCTAGTTAGTAATTATATTATATGAATCTCAGTAACATTTCAGTGATTTAAATTTCAATATCTCCTTCTAAAACTAACGCGAAGCAAATAAACAAAACCTATAGAGTAAATAAAAGTATTTCTATATATAATGTGTATGAAGTAAGATCTATTATACAATGCGAGGTGTTTGCGAGCGCCGTTTACGAGGTCATTGGCCTCCGTTCGATCTAATAATAGAAGCAAGCATTAACTTAATGAATATTTTTATGAAACTTTCACATAATGAAAATATATTTGTATATCGTTTTCAGTTGACCCGGGACATTGTACTCGTCACACAGACATACGATGTGATTGTATTGTAACAAAATGTATCACTCGATAAAACAAAACGATCATAATAATAATTATCAAAGAAAATTACGAACATATTATATATATTTCATTGAAGATGCTTGATTATTTATTTTTAAAATATTCTAACATATGTCCCACTTCAACCAACTCTTTTATTATTCAATTAATCGATGTTCACTATTTTAAAACAGTACATTTGTTCTGTTTTTTTATTATAATTTTGACTGTTCTTAAAGCAAAATGAAACAATAGATCTCTTTTTATACGAATATTGCTAAGTAAAAATTTTATCCCTACTAATCCCTACTAATATTATAAATACGAAAGTAACTCTGTCTGTCTGTCTGTTACGCTTTCACGCCTAAACCACTGAACTGATTTTAATGAAATTTGGTACAGAGATAGAGTTGACCTTGAGAAAGAAGTAAAGACAGTTTTTATCCCAGACTTTTGAAAATTTCTCTTAGAAACGCGATATAACCGAACTCCACGCGGGCGAAGCTGCGGGCGGAAAGCTAGTAATATATATGAAATCTTCAAATTGCTCTTAATGATTGTCACACATGTCCTTGTGGTCACATTGAAGCTGAAATATTTCTCGGTACCAGGAGACTATGACTTATGAAGAGTTGTTCTGAAGACCTTACACGGACGGACTTTATAGATAAAGTATGAGTTTAGTTTCAGCATCTATTATCCTTAAACTCAAATCTCCGCTCAAAACTATTTTCAGTAATTAATATTTTTCTGTCATAAACATAACAGAGTCAAGGGTCACGTCACTCCCTATTCTTTTCTTTTAAATCGTCACAATTTTTTTAAATCGCTTTGTCGGTCAATGATAAGATATGGCGATAAATGTATGCTTTATAGTATTCTCAAGTATTTCTATCCATAAAGCTCTCAGCGATAACCCGAGGATCTCTGTACTGTATACCGATAAAGAGGACAAACTGAATACGAAAAAAAATAATATTCCATACAAAAAAATCCTTCAAACTTCCTATTCACAACTGGTGAATTATAAAAACTGAAACGTTAAACGCATACTTTGTAATACATTGAATTAAAATAGTGAAGTGTCATCTTAAAAAACATAAACATTGAAGTGCAGTACACTCCGTAAACTGCTACGGTTTAAATTTTATTTATAATAAAGTCACCAGCGACATGAAACAGACGCAGCGTTTAATGTTATACAAATAAGGTTTCTTTTGAGAGCAGTATTCTTAGAGCGGGTTTCAATAGTAAATACTAAACAAGGTGTAGTTGTGTTTTTTCCGTCTCGCCAGCAAGTCTGTACTCCTACAAGTTGAACAGTAATCGCCGCACATAATCCTATTAACACTCGGCCAGAGTGACACGTTACACGCTCAGTACGTTATAAGCTGCTGTTCATTATATAGTCATTACATACAACTATATTTACATTTTATATACATTTTTATTTTATTAGTTTTGACAATTTTGATTTCGGAAAGAAAATTTAAATGAAACTTTATTTTTTATTTTTGATAAAACTTACATACTCCCGACGTTTCTGTTACTTTTCAGCTACCGTGATCATGGGCGTCATATTAGTTTCATTTAAATGAATAAAACGCGAGAAAAAACTTAGATCTCATTATCGGAAATACGGTATTCAGATGTGAGTTGGTCTCCTTATTTTGTTTATATCTTGAGAATTGGTAGTATGATCAGGTACATGGAAGTTTATATAATAATGAGAAATTAACTTTAAATTTCACCCTCGGTGTATATCTTCTAGAGCGAGGATCTGTGGTTTGTAAAAACGTAGTAATAGCTAGGCTTGTCCACTGTGTGTTCACACACTGCTTATTAAGACGCATGTCTATTTAAATTGTCTGATGTATGTACTCTTACTCTTGCCCGACGCTTTGTCTCTGTTTCAGTCAAGTCCACAATCAAACTTATAATCATTTTCATTTTTCTTTGTGATTCATATATTATTTGGTCAGAGAGTTCTTTCATATATAGACACATTTCAGACGGGGCGGCTGAAATGTTAGTAGCTTTCTTTCTAAACTGGTGAGAATTTTTATTTACGCTTTGAAAATATATCTATTTCAAATACTAAGTAATTTTAATGATTTAACCTGCTTTGTTAAATAATTTCAGCGACACTTGAGACGGCGGGAATTAAACATTTAGTTATAAAGACTTGAAATGAAATATCTGTTATTTGTAATGGTTACAATTCCTTGCTCAGACTAAAAGCTGAATGCGGTTCAGTTTTCTCATTACTAATTAGACACCAAATCCATAAAGTGAAGTGCTATTATAAAAATAACTTTCCTTGAAACGTAACTAACGAAATCTGAAACATATTTTCCGGTCCACTTTGTTTTTGTGATTTGACAGACGGAAGACGAGCGCCCCGAATTTATTTGGGACAATGGAATAACAACTAATATACGACACGGTACAAGTAAAGATATCACAAACACACATACAAGCTGTACTAATACTTTTATAAGGATTACTATTAGAAATAATGATTAGCTTACATTACATACAAAACGCTCATTTAATTATGGTAAAGAAATATTAAATAATCGAAAGCAACTACTTCAGAGTTTGTGAAAAATGTGCCTGTGTTTGTGTCTGTGTGTGTGCGTGTATGTTTTTGTGTGAATCTCTAAATATTACATTATTAGTATAGTACATATCGCTCCTTTAATGACGGGATAAACAATTTGATAATCGAAGTTGACTACTTCAGAGTTTGTAAAGAATGTTTCTGTGTGTGTGCGTGTCTGTTTGTGTGTGTGTGTGTGTGTGCGTGTATGTGTGTGTGTGTGCGTGTAGTCGGTTGACAGGTGACGCGGAACGTTGGACGTAATGTCTTCCGGTGCGGACGCGCGCCGAATTAATGACGGGACAGCTTCCTCCTCATCCCCGCGGGTTAATGTTCAACAGAAACAACATTCTTACACTGTTAGACACACTCGCTAACATTACTAATTGCATACAAGACTTTATTACCGCTAGATCGAAAAGATACAACAAATTATAATAAAACAGATTCGACGAGTCGATAACAGCTTTAGAAGAACAATAATAAAACCTAGGATGATAACAGAATAGTACGAGATAATAGAACGATAATTGAGATGACATTAGATGAAGAGTTCCCACGGACCGAGGCCGCGGTCCACACACGAGACGAGATGAAGGAGGCTGGAGAGGTTGTAATGATGATCATCATAACACACACACACACACACACACACACACACACACACACACTCGCACTCAGTATGTTAAGATTGACAATTATATTTGTATGAAATGACCGTCAGGAATCATTATTATATATGTATAAGAAAAAATACATTTTGATTACAGTTCACTCTACGTCACTACATTAACATAATCATTTATTTTAATTTATTTTTCATTCCAATACAAATCAAACAGATGTAAGTAAACATCGCTAATGATGAACAATTATAAAAATTAATCGTCAGATAAGAATATGACAAAATTAAGTTGAAAGAAAGATAAAAAGAGTAAAAGATCAATCAACAACGGGTCATTTAAGAAAGACTGAGGCTGAACTATGTTTCTTGATTGTTTATTATATTCTTATTTACGTATTAATATACTACTACTGACTATGGCCGAGTCGTTTACGATAAAACCAAAGTATACTATATTTTTACGACACTAAGTCCGAGTCCCGTCCTCGTCTGCCGGCGAGTTCATTTTAAAAAACCGTCTGCCGAGGTTCACTGCGGCATGACTTATGAGATATGAGAAAAGATAATATTATACTTTAGTAATCTTACCGCAGTCTACGTTAATACTATGATGACGAAAATGTATGAATGAAAAACAAAAACTGTGTAGTGTGACCATGAAAACATTTTGGGTAGGATACAGTGGTGATACTTTCGATGACAAACTAATATATGTTTATACAGAGAAGCATTAATATACAATGAGAGAGGAGAATACATGGAACCGTTGAAATAGAAAAGACATTGAAATCTATACTAATATTATAAAGCTGAAGAGTTTGTTTGTTTGTTTGTTTGAAAGCGCTAATCTCTGAAACTACTGGTTCGAATTGAATAATTCTTTTTGTGTTGGATAGTCCAGTTATCGAGGAAGGCTGTGAGCTATATAACATCACGCTACGACCAATAGGAGCAAAGATATAGTGGTAAATGTGTAAAAAACGGCAAAAGCTAGTATTACATAAAAAGTGATAACATTATGTAACTGAATGTTAATGTGTCATTAATAATTAATATAAAGATATTATAATCTAGTTTATATTATTTAAACTATATTTATTATGTATTGAAACTATATGCAAATTTTAATGTTGTAAAACAGTTTGTTTGTTGACAGAAATCTTCGGAACTATTAAAATGCATACTATCAAAATTTCTATAATTTTGATTTCAACTTAAAGTATCTCTTTAACGCGTCTGTGTTATAAGTCTACTTGTTTTAATCAAAGCGATAAATCAAAACATAGAATTGCATATATTAATTTATTTTACTTTAAAAAAAAGACATTACGGAAGAATACCAAATGACACATTTTGATTCCGTTTATTAAAGATATTATTTCGTGTTTTATATAGAATTAGAACTTTAAACGGTGAAGACTATGGTCTTATAACTATTTTTAACTTTCTTAGGTCTAAATATGACAAACATTAAGACATATCCATATTCTTAGGATCGTACAAAGTGCTATCCGGGCTGGTGTTTTCAATAATATGAGATCTTTATTTAATATAATAATTAATTAATATAATAATTGCTAAATATAATATTTATAACGAAATGTTAAAAAACATTCACCGTCCACATTAAAATGTACACTTTCACTAAATATATTTTATATTATCTCTTATATTGATAAATGCATGTTTTTTTAAAATAAATTATTGGCACGATATTCTCTAAGTAGTGTAACAATATTTTTGATAGATTTGTCTTCAAAGATAAGACATGAAGTACATATACATGTCGATATATATATTTTTTCAGTTCTATATGTTTTTTCTATATACATATATGGGAACGCTAAGGAAGGTCCTGTTTAAGTCAGCCCCAAGTCAGCCCCAAGACACCAGGAGTCAGTCATACTCTGCAATGTTTTTAGATCGAGTACCAGGATCACAGCACGGGAAAGGAGATGCCATTTACACAAAAACATACACGTACAGATTTTTATACTTACTGCACTGTATTATGATCTCTATTACATAACAATACGAGTCATTTATGTGTGTACACAACTTAAGGGTTGTGGAATTCAGTCTCGAGTTTAAATCTTGATAATCAATTACGTTCAGTATGACGATAAACTTACGAGTGTAGTCTTGTGATAAGTTATTCGTTTCAAAAACTAATAGGTGCCTGCTTTTAACTATAAATAACTGCAATTCTGTCAAATTCATGATTATAGGCGTTATATGTTTATAATGGAATAATTTTAATGTATTATAATAACGACTGACATTTAAATTAATTTGTTAATTGTTTAATTTAATGTTTCATAATTATTATAATTTATAAATACAACTTAAATAATGTCAATTAATTATTACAGACATTATATATTGACATAATTTTTACGAGTGTGACAATTATTATGACGTCATGTTATATAACAAAAAAAAAAAGGTAAATAGACAGTAATTGTTACAATGTTGTTCTGGAAACTTCTTTCATTGGAATTCCGGAGATGTTTTAAATCTCAGGTAACGAGGACCAATACAATGAAACAATCGCCTTATCTTATCAGTTAATGAAAGACCGTTAATATTATAACTTGCAATTCGTTGTTCATTGCAACAACCTATTTACACACAAAACTTTTAAAAGATTCATTATTATTGATTTATTTTTAAATAGTAATGGAATTTTTATTATGATGAGACTAAAATTAAAAACTAAATGTTTGAACCTAATTATAAATAATATTTAAATATGTACAAATTGCTTTCTTTATATTACAGTCACACTATTTTTTATTGACATAGTTCAGTGTGTAGTTTTAATATTAAAAACAATAACTATATCAGCCGGTCGAAGTAAACAACAACTACGCGTACCCACAAAAACTTTTATATCGTATTTATATTATATTAAAAACTTACCGAAATTTAAAACAGCATGAAGTCTCCGAACATAAATAACTTCAGTTCCACAACAGTGCTCAAACGTCACAAAAACTCTCACTAATTAATAAATTCAAACTTTTAAAACAATTTGCGTGAATTATTACGACACGGTTATTACTCGAGGCGCTCTCGACCTGACACACACACGTCCGCTCTGCACGGCCACCGCGTGCGATATGACTGGCGAATCCAAATTCCAAATTCAAAAACGACCGCGGTCCAACACTCGGCATGGAGTTATACTCTATGACAGAATGTTCTTTTTCAATTAACTCTGCACATAGTACAGACCAGATGTAATAAAAATAATCACTTAATAGAAAAATACAAAGGAATTTCAAATTTCATAACTCACAATACGACGTCAGCGAATTCCGAGGCGGGAAACCGTGACTGAATGTCTTACATCGGCTCTTCATTACAGAAGTGGATTCATTATATTTAATATAATAATATTTAATTATTTACTTGTATATACGTACATTGTGACAGGGCTCACTAAAATACACAAAATAAAAACATAATGATAAATTAATAATCTCGTTATTCAAACGACAAATAATAATCTTATTTTAAGACTTATTTTGAAGAAAAATATTAATTTAATATATTTATACATATATAAATAAATTTCACTGCATCTTCATTTACACAACCGAGACTCGAGACATGAAAACATCAGCAAAAGATTCCAATTCAAGTAACAAACCTGCTGAAGTGTCAACAGTAAGCAGTTGGATTGTTCACTTTTGTTTTGTAATATTACTTTACTATAGACACGATTAACTATATCAAAAAATACATTAAACTTAGTTTCAGTTAGTCGTTTCTGAAATAGCGACTACGTCTTAATCTTTTGCATAACAAATATTCCACAGATTATAATGTTTGCTGTCAACCATACACGTAATGTTGTTCGAGTAACCGTAATATAATATAATATTTAACGAGATAAGAGAACAAACGCTTATGAGATAATGACATCTTTCACCGCGATGACGCCTAAAGAGACAACTGCAGGTTAATTATTATCAATTGAATGATATTAAAAAAAAGAGACGTCGACAACAATTAAACAATAAACACGATAAACGAAATATTAAAATATCATTCATTCGTTCTATATATCATTCAATTCGTTCAATATTTTTTAATATTTCGAATGAGTTTTTTTTGCAATTATTTTAAAATTATTCCCGGACTGTTGACAGTTTACTACAAGTGTCTCTAAAGTACTTAATGTTTGACAGAGTTGTAACTTGTAAGACCTTTGACATAAATCTATAGAGCTGAAGTCAATGTTTAAAATTTAAATGACTACGGTAAAATATTTATTAAAATATGAAAGAACTTTTTTTATTAAATTAAAATATGCATTTATTATGAATTTCTCTTCTTCGTATTAAAAAAACATATTATCTCGCTGAATAAATTATGCAAAATTCTTTGAACCCAATACGCTAGGCGCCAACTCGTTCATTTCTTATTAAATTAAAAAAAATAAAATAATGGCCAGTGGATTTTATCAATTTTTAGGAAAGACAGACTGTAAACGAAATTGTAATCTAATATTTCGATGCACAATAGACCATGTGTGAGGTCTGACGTCGCTCGCGATAGGAGTTTTGTATCTTATGCTGTAGGTAATAAGGTCTTAAATTGTTTGTGTAGTACTTGTATACACTTCAAGTACAGTCTGAGACTGCGTGGGAGCGGAAACACAGAACAGAACCAAACGTTCTCAGTCGGTCAAAACAACAATATAAGTCATTTGAGTGACGTCCAACTAACATATTGTGTGACTGCATATTGTTTTATCCTTTTGTTAATTCACTTTCGCTTATTATTTGCTTTTATTTCGTGATTGTTATATCAGCGGGGTCAACGACCGATGTCTCACACGAATCTTGAAACTGATGCTTAATGAATTAAATTAATGCACATTCAACTAGTATTATTAAAACAAAACAATGTATCTTAATCATTTAATAAGAATCAAATGTTTTCTATTGTAAACTAATCATCAATTAAGAGTTCAA